ATATTTATATAAATTAAAACCGGCCCTTTGAGTGCAACCATAATGCTGATGTGGCCCGGATGAAATTGAGTTTGACACCCCTGCCTCAGAGGCTCTACTGACCCAGTTATCTATAATGATACTATATTAGGATATCATCGATTTGTGGGAATGAGAAACACGGATAAAACATGGAAGAGCTGAACATCTGCATTTTAAACAACCAAACATGTTGAATGAAGTGTGTTCTGACGTGAGCAGAAGTCATCCATATTTAACGTATCTCTATTTTCTTCAGCAAAAACACATGGAGGTGGAGAGGACCTCAAAGTGGCTGAAGATGATGAAGAGCTGGGACAAATACAAGAACAGCGAGAAGGTGAGCTTCTGGGTTTCTGTTTGTATCTCATCCTCTTTTTACCCTCTCACACTCGCCCATATTTGCTATCAGTGATGGAAAGGGAAGTACTTCTATAATTTAATAAAACGTTCTTCCATTCCTTGTCTAAACATACTGACTTAAAGGTGGGGTAGGTCATTTTGGAGAAACCAGCTCGATAGCGCTAGAATTTGAAAATACACAACCGGAACAAATCAGCCACTTCCTTACAGAGCCCCTCCTCCAACACACACGAACGCGCACATGACCAATGAGGGCACGAGATAAGTTTGTGCACAGATGGAAGGCTGACAGGCAGGTAGGCCATCCAATTACTTCAGCCGGGCCTGCTCAGATGATTGGTCGTGCTTTTTACAGTACCACGGCTTCCACAGATGACATTTTTTAATGGATTTGTTGTCAAAGCACTTCAGATATTCATTGCTATCAGGATGTTAAGAGCATTCCATGGAATATAACAAAAAGTGTATCTCGAGCCGGTTTCTCAAACGTACATACCCCACCTTTAATGAAGAATCCTTGTTTGGTACAGATCCTCTTTAAAGAAAATCACATCACGATCACTTCAAACTTTTTTACCATGATTTGTCAAATGTTTCAAGAGTGATAATCCCCTGATATCGTTAAGACGGTTTTTAGAAACCGACATTTTTACGACACGTAAAAGCTACAGACGTGGTATTTACTGACATATTCTAGAACAAAATCGACATTTATTTCAGGCTTTACATTCAGTAAAAAAGGTTAGATTTGAGTTAGGGGAACATGAAGTGATAACTTATTGACTCATTTTAAGGTATAAGGACTCATCCCTGCACCACTGCACTGTTGTGGTGCTACAGAAAGGTCCCAGCCTACACAAATAATTCTACAGACTTAATAAAAGATCCTTGTTTAGTACAGTGCCTAAAAATAACATTTCTTTTTTAATCACCTCCTAAATGACGCTAAAGGATCTTGGCGTCTTAAAAATAACACTGCCTTTTATCGTGATTAATATATCAATTGCAATACGAGGGAAAATAACCGCAATGACTTGTTTTTCCAAATCATCCAGCCTTCCTCTCATACCCCTGTTTGAGTTATCAGAGGTTTCTTCAGCCACACGTTGTGTTGTGGTGCCTGCAGCGCTTCCACATGTCCTTCATTTGTGGGTAATCCTTCAGCAGGGGTTTACTGTGTGGTTATGTGGGCTCTGAAATGTGAAATACTCTCCTGGCTGCCACTTTGAGCTCAGCGAGGCTCATTCTACAGCAGCGCATTTGAACAGCCAAGGACACAGAGCACTCCTTTCATCACTTCGTCACTTCTCTGAAGCTTCGGGGATATTTCTTCTCCTCTTTGTCACGAAACGGGTCACGCTTGATACATCTCTTATTTAGTTTCCTCGCTCGCCAGCTGCTGAGAAAACATTTTGCCCGCAGTAGGAAGGAGAGCTGTAGCACATGTAAAGCAGCCACACTCCATGGGTTTGGCTGGAGGTTGTAATGTTTAGTAAAGAGTAATAATATTGTGTGAGAAAGACTGAAGCGGTGTCCCTGTGCCATTCTTCATTAGAAGTGGCTCAGAAACATCACATGTGTTGATTTGGAACTGAAAGCTTGTGGATGTAGAGACTGCTGTTCAATGGCTGGTTCGTCTGCGGTAACACTAAGCCGGTCTCATGGAAATGGGATTTGACCACATTTCTAGGCAAACAGAGAGAAAGGGTAATGATTGGAAGTATCAGCCAAGTCATAAAAAAACACTTCATAGACGAAGTGATAGCAACATAGTGAATGCAAAGACCACTAACATGTTTTCTTAGTAATAAATGATTTATTTTGTTTAAAAAATATCGTGTTTGTTAAAATAGTTTTTTTTGGTGTCACACCTGGTGCACCCTGCCTTTAAAAAAATATAGCTCTTCCCACGATTTGAACATTAGAATATTTCTCATGCGTTTGTTTAAGGTTTTGGATAGATGTTGGCTATTTAAACGTATCTAGCTAACCCTACCTAGGGAGGCTACCTGTGGCTCAGTGGGATAGTGCGCTGATATGCAGATCAGAGGAGAGCAAGTTTGAGTCCCGCTGGAAGCCTGGAACTGCAAACATTAACAGACATTCACATGTTTACACACATGTTCACATAAACACACACACACACACACACACACACACACACACACACACACACACACACACACACACACACACACACACACACACACACACACACACACACGCTCACAGGATGATTAGTGAAACAGATGCTCTCATTGACTTGCCCATCAGAGCTAGTGAGTCCCCAGAGTGGTGATAGGATGGTGATAAAGTACACACACACACACACACACACACACACACACATATATATAAAGCCATTCATTCTGTCTGTGGTTTCTTTTTAATATGGAGAGTTAACAGACAACAGCTGAGTTATGGTTCTTCATTATCTTTCATCTCTTCCACACACATCTTTGTGAGTTCGTTTGCTCTGGTTTTACACGGGGCGATTGAAAACAACATAACATGTCATGCTAAAGATAAGATATATAATAAAATACAATCATTGGTCTTGATCACCAAAAGTCCTCCTAAATGACGCTAAAAGATCTTGGCTTCTTGAGACGAGATAACCTCCTAAGTTAAAATGGGTTTGTTGCCATGGATACATCATGTTTTATGAATGAAAATAATCACTATGTCCACGATGATTGACAGGTGACCGGCCTGTGTCAGTGAATATAAAACACAGCAATAAAAGAACAAATTGAATTTGATTTGGCTGGCTTCATTAAGAAATATTTAGGTTTTTCTATAAACCGTGTCAAAATGCAGGCGTTTAAATGAAAGATAAATGTTGATTCTTCATGTAGATTGTATCTGCATGTTGAATCTAAAATATTTTATTTCTATATTTCATTTCAGTAAAGTAGGACTCCAACAATACTCGGGTATTTTGATTATCAATTAATCCGCTGATTGTTTTCTCTATGATTTAATTTATAGTTGTTTCTATCAAAACAGTTTAAATGTAATCTAGGACGGTTAAAAAATGTGGTTTCCTCCTTGGACGGTGGTGAAAACGTTTGTCCGGAGCCACACCTGGTGGACCTTTTCCTGATTTATGAATGGTATTTTAAAGCGTATTTGGACTAGAACAGCGCCCCCTCCATTAGTTTAATGGTTTAGCCCTAGTTTAAGAATATGACTGTGTTTGCTTAAGGTAATGATGGATGTTAGCTAACTAAACTGAGCAGGCTAAACTGTTATTGTTGTAACTCAACCCCCAAAGTGCAGAAGACTCTTCTCCTGGGGTTTTTGGCAGTCTTCAAACACCTGTGGTCTCGTGAAACAAGTACATATTGCATTTAGTTTAAAGGGGACCTATCATGCAAGATGCACTTTGTGATGTCTTTTATACATAAATATGTGTCCCCGGTGCTTCGGGGAACTCACGCAGCGTCAGAAAATAAAACCCTCTCTTTTCCTCCGTACCCAAATCTTTTAAAAACGGGTTTACAACGACCGGATACAGATTCCATCCGCTGTGACGTAATAGCGGCAGCGGACCCACAGAAAGTTGCTATCAGAAACAATGCCTGACGTGTTTTGGACGTTTTTGTTTACATTAGCAAGCCTCGCTAACACTCAGAGCTAACCTGTACTTAAGAGCACATGTGTTTAAAAGGCAGGAAATAAAAAAAGTACTCACCTTGTGATAAACCCGCGAGAGAAAAAGCATTTGAGCTCCATACTATTTCAGAAATAATCCTTGATGTGCTTAGAACAGGATGGCGTTTTATCACAACAGAATTTAACTTTATCTCCGGTAGAATTCTGATCAGGCATTAGCTCCGCCTCCTCTTATTTATTTTTTTCAAGCTAGGGACCCAAAATCTGCATTTCTCTAACAGGGTTTCAAAAGAGGGGTTTGAGCAGTATGAGGCATGGCTACAATGGGTGATCTGTTTGCTATTTTGAAAAAAAACCTTCACAGACATGTTTTGTATGGGTATGGCCCTACAATATATGTTTCAAATATAGCATGATAGGTCCACTTTAAGTAAAGGTGAATTTCATCAGGATGTGAGATGCTTTAAAGGTCACCTGTTACGCACAATCCACTTTTTCATGTCTTTTATGCATAAACGTGTGTCCCCTCTGTGTGAAGAGATTCTGAACGTTTCAGGAAAAAAGATTGGCTCACTTTTTGTCCTGATCCATGCTGCAATGCATGATCTGTTTGGTATTTCGAGCCAAACACTTCAGAGACATGCTTTGTATATATCTGAGACCTATTATATATTGATGAAAAACAGCATAATAAATGCAAAGTGTAAATGTGGCCTTAGTGACGTAGGAGTAGATCTAACATCTCTTTCACTTTTATGGTCTTGTGGATAAATGCTACTCCAATCCTAAAATTAGCGCTGTTAGCTCAAGAGCCTCTTTTACCCTGAGGATGTTTAGTGGATACGGTCCTCTAATAGAGGGCCTGTCCTCTTCAGTCTGTCCTCCTGTCAGTCAGCTGTGCGGCACACTGACACTCCAACACCTCCATATCTGCTGTATCACTGCTCCGCCTGCTTGGCTTTTAATATCTGCACTCGGAGAAATTCACTGCCGCGATTAGCTTTGCTGTCCCAGCACTTTGGATTTTAAGACTTAATCTTCCTCGCCCCAGAGTCCGCAATGATTTCCTATCTCTTTGTGAATGACTTTGTGCCGTTCGGCATGCAGTAACTCCCACCATCTCTGCCGGAGCCAGATGGTGGAGACTCACCTTGCAGAGCCCTCTGCTTCCTCTCCCAGCACACTGATGAGCGCACTGTTTCCATCTCTGAAACACTCACAGCACAACAGTCATTTGTTCCTCTATTCTGGATTATAGTTTTGAATTTGCCCGAGGCTCTGTTGCATCTCTGTGGTGTGCAGCAACAACCCTTACCTAGCAGATACAAAGGGTACATTGTAAGCATACTGTAAGCAAACATTTGTTTTTGAATGTTCTAAAAAGGTTAATAATGACTTCAAAAGAGACATTTCAAATCATTTGTAAACAAGAATAAAAGGTAACACCTTGTATTGAATAATGGCCAAAAATCCAGTTGAGTATAAAAGTTAAATTGACTAACTTTGTGAGATAAAGGAACACTGAATGTTTTATTTTTACATTTCTTTCAAAATCCCACATGTTAGCAATAATTATAATTGGATACTGAAAAAAAAAGGTGCATTAAACATTAAGAAACCAATCATGATTCAGGATATAAACCAACAAATTGAGGAATGATATTGATAGAAATATTATGTATTACGGATTATTTGAAACTATTCATTATAAAGATGCCCTATTATGTTTTGGGGGTTTACCTGTAGTGTGTTAGGTTGACATCACACTTCAATTGGCTAGTGCTTCAACACATTGTACGTGATAGGCTAAAGGGCGGGACATCTCTAAACAGTTGACCAATCAGAGCAGACTGGGCTCTGGTTTCAGACAGAGGGGAACATTAAAGAGCTTTTTGAACATTAAAGCATGGAGACATGTCACAGTAGATTAGAAGCACAACATCCAGATATGAACCTGAAATTAGCATAATAGGGCCCCTTTAATAAGTAAATGAGTTGTTTTTAATTGGCAATAAAGATTGTAATCAATTGAGGTGTATTTTTATGTTGGGTATGCAGCATGAAACTCATCATCATTTCGTGTTTATTGACATTCCTGTCTGATATTTGTGTCAGTATTTGATCTGATCTGTTCTGAGCTCAGGTCTACATGAATGTGGAGTGTGTTCCCGAGGCACTCCTCTCTGGAAGTGTTCCTAACAAACTCCTGCTGTGTGTTTCAGCTGGGGAGGAGGGTCTATAAGGGAATCCCCTTGCAGCTGCGAGGGCAGGTCTGGGGTCTGCTGCTCGATGTCCCCAAAATAAAGGAGGAGAAGAAGGACTTCTACGAGGTACTGAGCCTAGATCTCACCACTAAACACACAATCCACTTTACAGCCCGACTCCCCCACACACAGTTTATAACATTAATTACAGCTCAGGCCTCATAAAGACTCAGAAGCGTGCTCCTTTTATTTGATTTCACCGAGCTGCAGGATGTGGGTTTGGAAGCGTAATTGTGTGTTTGTGTAATTCTGCAGAGCGTGTTCCTGCACACTGTAAAGAACAGAGGCAAACTTTGGATCTCATTCAAAAGTTTGGCACGCAGGATCTATAATATGTTTGCTGTGTTGAATGGATTGTAATTTGAGGCTGAGGCCACAGCTGTAAACAAAGCAAATAAAGTGAGAAACTTAAACTGTGAATGAGGACTTTTCTGTCCTTACATTTTTTTTTTATCCTTTTGTATGATATTTTATTAATCTGTTTGACGCCAAGACAGATTCACTATCAAATATAAGATGGAGACTTGTAATAAACGCCACTTTTTAAACTTTTTACCCCAAAACATTCGAAGGAAACGTGTTAAAGTCATGAAAATGTCGGCTGCTACACAAAAAAATCTTCTTTTTACCAAATGAACACAATATTTTCATTGAACTTTCTTCAAACTGGAAAATGATACATTTCATCTGAATTATTCACTGAAATACTTTCTCAAAGTATAAAACATGCTGTTAAGAAGCTGAATTATGTAAATAGAGATACAAAAGGCAGAATTTGGGTCAATTTGGGTCAAAGTTATATTTCACTCTCTCTGTCAAACTTCGCAGGCTCTTATTTCAGTTTTTGAGTAAATATTGTGCCTCTTAGATGTACTCCAGCAGGATGCTTAAGCACGGTTCAGTATTTGTCTCCTTGGAGTCACTCTCCTCGTCACTCTCCTCGTCGCTGACCTTTTTATTTCTGTGTTTTCTGCAGAAATTGAAGGCCAGAGCCAGGGGAGTGTCCCCCGACATCCGGCAGATCGACCTGGACGTGAACCGCACCTACAGAGACCACATCATGTTCATGCACCGCTACGATGTCAAGTGGGTATCTGCAGGAACCCTGCCTTTACTCTCCTACGGCTATAACACTGTATTCGAGATGAAGTTACGGTTACACAGTTTCAAAAGCATTTCACTTTTAAAAAGAATAACTAATACAAAGTGTCCAAGGACCACGTTGCTGAGAAAAACACAGAAAGAAAAATACTGACATTGTATTTTTTACTTAATCGGTTGTTTTGTTGCAGTGTTACAAACATTAACTCTGCATTAAACCCTCACTGTACGCACATCCTAAAGGTAGATATTTGCAGCATAGTTAGATTTAAAAAGTATTGTATTTCAATGTCATTTCTTTGTTGTATTTTGGTCATTTCAGGCTTCGCATTTTAACCAAATTCGGTCAGTACGTTTTTTAAGACCTTGAGGTTCAAAAGCAATTGAACACCTATTGCCTTACGTAAAAATCACCATCCGATATATATAAAAAGGATATTATGTGTTCTTCACATGATGTGATCAACTTCATGTTTGTTAAGCGTGTGTTCTCTAGCGCCACAGAGTGGACACAGGAAGGAAGTTGTGCAACTTTTGTCTGTTTAGTTTTTCTGCATATCTGCACTGCCATCTAGATAGAGATATATCACATGGGTCGGCACTTAGCGTCACAGATATACAGTCAGAATAGAGCAATATGATTTTGTATGGTTAGTTTATCTGAATATATAAAGTATAATAGGTGTGTGCTGGGTGTTTACATTTTAAATCTGCACTAATTGATTCTTAATATCTGAGCCCTAAAGCTTTCCCATGAATAAGAGACTCTTTTTCCATTTGGACTTGTGCTTTGTTACCATGAAACTAAAGCAGGCTCTAGTTCATTTCAAACCAAAGAGTATCAGTAAACCAGCTGCACTCTACATATGGAAACTACACCTGTTTGAACACCTTTGTAATGTGCCCTTTTCACTCTGCTGATGTTGAAATAACAAATGCTGCTTTCAGCTCACACTTCATTTTCACCACATTTATAGATTTTACCCCTGACGTGTAGCTTCTGTGAGAACGTGTGATAAAACTGTCAGAAGAAGGAACCCAAACTTTGACTTACAGTCCTGGAACTAAACGCTGTGTTCTTTGTGGTTTCTTTGTGTTTTTCAGGCAGCAGGCTCTCTTCCACGTCCTCACAGCTTATTCAATGTACAACACGGTGAGTCATTCACACCGTCTTCTCAATACTGCAGGTTACTATGCTTTTGCTATCCGCATGTGTACTGGATGTAGGATATACAAGTCGTCTTCTTAGTCTTGTTAACTTAGCTTTTGAACGCATCATCCAGAGTTTCAGATTATTCAACAAGGACAAATATAATTTCCATTAGTCTTAATGCCTCCCAGAAAATGCACACCTTAAATAATAGTGATGTACAGAAGGTGCCACACACAAAAAAAGATTTGCCAACATAAACAGGTAAAACCATAAGACTGTCAAAAAGTTCAAATGATTGCCTTTGATTTGTTACGCAATGAGACCGTTTATTCAAGAGTTGAATTCAGTGTATTTGCAAAACAAAGAAGAAAACGGGGTGAAACATTAAATGAAATCAGGACAATGAAAAACCTTAGAGAAGACAGAATGGTCTCATGTGTTATGTGCACACTACTTAGTTATGGATGTATACATTCTGTGTCAGTAAGCAAAATATTAGTATTACTGCCGATATTTATTCCATATGCTATTCCTTCTTATTACATTCCATTGCAATGTAAATACTGTTATATCTTTTACTATATTTTGTATTCTTTTTCATATTTTTCTAGTTCTCTACCTGTGTTTTACTTTTATGTATGCACCACGACACCAAGTCAAATTCCTCGTGTGTGTGTGTGTGTGTGTGTGTGTGTGTGTGTGTGTGTGTGTGGGTGTGTGTGT